GATCTTGGTTCCCGTGACATTGACATTAATTATAATTGGGCCAGTGTGAGCAGGCAACGGTATCCCAACTTTGAAGGCTTTAACTACAATTTAAATTTACTAAAGGGAAATAGATAAAATATAATAAAACTAATATAGTATATATATAGCCCTGTCCTTCTCCTTTATATAATAGACCCTATTGGAAAGATTTTGTCGTACAAAAGTTCTTCTTCATGTTTGCTATTGAAGTCTTCAGCAACTTACTAATAACAATATACTTTTGTGGGAATAGTTATATGATCATTATCTGCCAGAAATTAATGCAGATCCTAATGATATAATCGGCCCTACAAAAAAAAATTCTGAAGAAGATAATAGTAATGATGATAGTATAGACGATCTTGAAGAAGATAAGGAAGAGAAAATTCGACCTAATTGGATATTCTTGTCAGAAATAGATCCGAATTCACACATTAATATTTCTTTTGATCTTGGTTCCCGTGACATTGACATTAATTATAATTGGGCCAGTGTGAGCAGGCAACGGTATCCCAACTTTGAAGGTGCTGATAACTTTATTCAATACTCTTGTGATAATACTACGGTCTCAGAAAATGAAACCGATATAACGATTAATCGTAAAACACTAAATGAGAAACAAAAATTGGTGTTTGAACAGATAGAATCTCATTATCATGTAACACTCTCAGGTTAACAAATAGATCCACTATTAATTATAGTAATAGCACTGCAGGAACTAGAAAGTCTTATCTCATAAAGGCAATTAGAGCTAGGCTTCAAGAAATGAAGAAAGAAAATCTATATAAGAACGACTCACCTCTTTATTAAGGTTTAGAGTAATGAAGTTTCAACTACTATAATAGAGAGGAATTCCAAGGAAGAGATAACAAGTTTCTTGAGCTGAATAGTTGCATTCAAATATAGTGTGAAGAAGTAATTTTTAAAATGCAACAATTGATGGGCTATCAGAGTTAGCACTATGAAGAGTTTTGTCCAAAATTTCTAAGAATGCCAATGACTGTGGTTTAGCTTTACTTGCATACTTAGAGATGTATTGCAATGTAGCATAATTTGTAAGCACAGGTTTCAAGTCAACATTTGCTCTTCAACCCTGAAGTTGGAGGCGATTATATAGATTGATGAAGAGATCGTTTCTGGCTGTGATTAACTCTAGATAACTGTTATTATTAAATCAAACCAAAGTTTGATTATTTAATTCTTTTGAAAATCTAAATCTACAAGATTGCTAGCCTGTTTGCTTGTTGACTCTTAAACAATATGAGGCACTGCAACATGTATGCTGCTATAACTTGTTTATGAGTTTTATATAATCCTGTAATCTGTCATCAATTTCTTCAGGATGTTTTTGGTATAGATTACATATAGGCACTGGTATGTTTAAACCAGTGTTTACTGTTATTACTAATAAGTCTAGGTAACGAATTGTTTCTTCCATTTGTTCTTGATTTGCTCTTATAGTTT